TTTGCAGCCACCGTAGTTTCTCCTCATTCCCAGGTCGTCAAATACAGACGCAAGCAGTGTTCAGTTAGATGCCACTAAATCCTTCACACTGGTCCTTTAAGTACTAATACCACACATATAAATAAAGTCCTGCATTGAAAATGTTACTTGAGTTAAAGTATGTAAATAGTATCAGGAAAATTTGCTTAAATTATTAAAAGTAAAGGTATTCAAGCATTAATTTAAAAAATCATCAAAATAGTTGCCAATTAAATTTCAGTCAATCAACTAATAGTTTCAAATGAACAAGTATCAACTATTGGGTAATTGGATCTATAACAAAACATTGTATTTTATAAACTCTCCACATGCTCTTGTGCAAAAATCTGAATTTGTAAATTAACTTACAAGTAAAGCTGTCAGGTAAATGTGTAATGAGTAAAAAAAGTATCCAGTAGCTCAAAAAGAAAAGTTAAGTAGAAGCAGCTAAAGGAACACTAGTTGAGTAAATGTACTTAGTTACTTTCCATCATTAGAGTCAGAGTCTGTCAAATTTTAATGTTATGAAACATTTTGTTATTTGGCTTTTTATGCAGTTACATTCTGTGGGATTTGTCTGAGCATCCAACGGTTGAAAACGTCTCGTGTTAGTCCATCCCAATCAGCCAGCTTTCTCATAGCTACTGACCTGAACGCTTGTCTTCTGTAGGTTGTGGACAATCTGGGAGGTTGTGTGTTATGGTGTGATTGATATTTAATCTGTGCCTCACCATTGCTTTCAGTGGTGGGCTACTTTAAAAAGGACCCAACATGTGTCATGAAAGGTATCCCACTGGCACCATTTGTTTCTAACAATAACTACTGAGGAGTGACAAGGACAGCTGCCCTTAAGGCCCTTACACACACACACACACACAAGGACAAACCAGTAGCAACAGCTATTTAACTGTTCTTAGGAAGGTATATTGTATTATATCATTACAGCTGACACACAAAAACATAGATAGACTATAGACTGTAGAAGTGTGAAGCTACGTGGTGTGTAACCTACCTCGGTGTATTGCACTGTTAGAGGTGAGGAGCTCCACACTCTGGTTGAACAGTTGCTGGGTCAGTCCATCAAGGGCATCTTCCTTAACAGATTTATCTCATGTATTTCATGCGGGGGGGGGGGTCACCTACTGCCCTGAGAGAAGCGTCAGTGTGTCTGCTGCAGGTAGAAACATTTCAAGAACGTTCCCCCTTTCATTAAGATCACTATACTAAATCAAACATAGGGATTGCATACTGTTCAGTTGAGTACAAACATGTTATTGATTTTCTGTTTTGATCACGCAGACTGCAGGAGGTGCACTAGTGACTGCTTTTATACTATATTTTTATATGTTGTATGTTATTATATGCACTGATCTTGTTTTTCAGAATACTCAAGACAGAGTTTACAGATAACATTTTACTCTAACCTCCCCTTTTAGCATTTATAAGCATATAAACACTTCATAAATGGTTTATAACAAAATGTAATATAGTTATAAAAGGATGTAACTTCGCCTATTTTATGTTTATACCTGTGTTTTATGCCATTGTCATTCATTATTCATTTATACACCTGCCACCACTTCTGGGTTCCCACAGAAGGAGTTGTAGAAATTGACAAATTTATAGACATTTATTTTTGCTTAAAACTATATTATAGTGGTGCCGTGCAGGGTATATCAACTTCTAAATCCCCTCCGATGTGCATCAATCAGTGTACTGCAAGCTGGATTTTCTTTCCTATGATGGCGAAGGCATTACCTAGTCGAAAGAATAAGAAAGACTTAACTCAAAATGCATAATTACGTAGTCTCACCCCTCTGTGAGCCAGTAAAAGCTGCTCCTCTTCGGTTGCTAATGTTAATTACATAATGGTAATTTCTCCCTGAAATCAAGCAATAGAAGTTATATGACAATGCACAAACACTAAAGAGTAGCATTAAATGTCGCTGTTTATAACATAACAGAGTTTACCCTCCTCTTCAGCCACCACTGATTAGTGTTATAACCTGTTCAGTGTTTATATACTTATTAACGATAAATAGGGGGGTTAAAGTAACCTGTTTGAGCTGAATAGTTGCTAATGTTGCTTCACTCTTTAAGCAGACAACGATTTTAAGTTTGTGAAATTGTGCCATCCGACCACAAACATCTGGAATCACAACAACACACGGTGCAAAAGTGTGACGGTCTCTTGGTTTCATCAAAAGCTGTGCGCAGTTTATATTTATTGTATTCTAAATTTACATTTAAAAAAATGTCTGCCCATGTCTTAGAACCATTATGAAAGTTAACGCACAAATTCAATATACATCTCATTGTATTTTACATAGAGGGTAAAAGTATAGGCATGAAGGTGGCATGATTCATATCAAGGCTCAAAAGAATCAGAAAACAAACATGAATAAATAGAAAGTGCTAATCTTAGCAGAAAAAAATAAAATAAGAATGCCTTCTCCTAAAAAAACAAACAAAAACAAAACAAAACTGCAGTGTGGAAAGGCTCAAGCTCCGGTTACCTAGCAAAGAAATTCATACAAGCCATCTAAAGCATGTGGTCTGACACTGGGCCTGTACATAAGCAGAGGGAATGCCAGAAACTAGTGTGAAAGAGCAATGGACATACTGTAGTCGGGCATCTGTACTTATCTATAAATTATAAAGTATACTGTGCCTAAACAGCTTATCACTAAACATTAACATCTAGGAAAAACTTTTCTTCTGTTCCTAGTATTCATCGGATGCTTGTAGTCGCAGCGCCGCTGCCGTGAGCACAGCGACCGACGTATTCAGACAGTCGGAGAGAAAAAGGCGTTCTGGAGCTGAGAGACACAGTGCAGCATTTCTTCTGAAGCTACTGCTGAATCCAATCGTTTTCTCTTCATCATATATGCTCATTCAAAGAAAACCTAACAAAATATTCGATTGTTAGAGTTGAATTTCTGCATGTCAGTTTTGTAAACTACTCAATTTTCAATAGTTAACTGTGTTTGAAATTTAAAAACAGTTGAAAGCTTTGGGATATTTAAAAAAAAAAAAAAAGGTTTTAATGACAAGGTCATTAAAAGTCATGCACGCTGCAAATAACTGCATGCAGTAGTTATGGTAACCCATCCAAGCACTTTTTTATTTATTAATAGTCATAAACACACACAGCAGCTTGATCAGAGGAGCCTATGCCCTCTTGACTTTTGAATGTGGAGTATTTATACGGAGAGCCATTTGCATGTCACAGGAAGCAAAGGTCTGCCACAGCTGCCTGTAACATTTACCTGATAAAGAAAAGAAAAGTTATGTGGATTGATTATCAACTTCATATATATCTTATATATATATATATATTTATATATTTCTCTTCTTTCGCTCGCTCACTCAGTTGCTATTGCGCACTCGCACATTTATCCCACTTGCTCTCATTTATTTTTGTTTACAATGTAACAAAAATGGTGACAGGCCTGAAATTACAATCACCAAAACAAAAACAAAAAAAGAAAAGGAAAAAAAAACAAACTCAGAAAATAGAGGAGGGAGGGAGAGAGGAGGGTGAGGCCAGAGAGGACTGCTGCGGTTTGCTGCCCATCACTGACAGTTGCAGCAGAGAGGACACAGTCTGCTTGATGCTCGGACATCAAAGAGGAGGCGGCGGAGGCTCCTTCCCCGTAGAGCTGCTCTCTCTAAGCTGGAGGTTCTCCAGCGCCACATCTAAAGGCATGATATCCACGCAGCCCATGGCTCCGAAGTCGGCGAAGTCTCGACGCTCTTCCTCGTCAGAAGAAGAGCTCTCTTCGTGCATCAGCGTAGACAGAAGCAGCTCCTGGACAAACAGGCTGCGGTCCGCGCGCTCTCCTTCTAGAAACTGACGCTCTGCTTCAGACATCTTAGGTTCATTCAACCTGGGGACAGTGATTACATTTAAATACATTCACATAACGAGTCACAAGGTTTACTATTCTAAACACGAAAGGGACGGGCAGGAAATGTAACCAGGTCAATTTACTTCAGTTTCGATACAAAGTCGGGAGGAACTACTCAGTATTTTAATAGTTGATTAACCTGATGTACCCGTTTGCTTACATAGGTAATTAATTATACGATCCAAGAGAGCATTGTGGCAACAGGAGTCCTCAAAAAACTGAAACTAGAGACCAGAGGAACAACTAACTGTATTATCACAAGAAGCTCCCATATGGCTTCTTTACCTGAGAAAAAAAACTTTATTACATTCTATTTTGAAAATCAAGATCAGCTTTAATGTCTCAAAACCAAGTCATCTTAAAAAGGATAAGGCTGGTGATTTTCTTTATGTCAACGAATCCAAAACCAATTATAAATGAATCCTACTGACAACTTTTGTTTGTGTTTGCGACGCCTGATTCCTCTGTGCCGCTGTTGTTAAAACACATTAGTGAGCCACGCTAGTTTACTGGCTGACATGTTGCATTATTATGATGAACATTGTAGTTTATTTTGAGTCAATCCCATAAAACACCATCCTGTTGTCATAAACACTCGCTATTGCACTAAATCCATAGCTGAAAACAGTCCCCAATGAATGCTGTATTTAGGTATATATCCATTCATTCTGTGTTTAAGTAGGAACCGAGGGATTTGGGGATAAGAGAGGAAGTTGGAAAGTACTAAGAGCGGAACGAACACACTGTTGTTTTATTGATGATAAAGATTTTGAATATCGCCCACCTTATCCTTTAAGAGCAACAGAGTGACTTACAAACAGAACTGTAACAAGATGATTATCATCATGCTCCAAACAACAACCGACTGGGCCACACTCACCGTGCTAATAGGAACTGGGAGTTGTGGGACGAGGATGAGGGATTGCTTTCACCCACAGTGGCAGTGTTGGCAGTTACTGTGCTTGGTGGAGGGATGCTGTTGCCAGTGTTGCCTGGGTTGTTGCTGCGTCGTGTCGCGTGGCGACCCGTCTCCACTTGCTGCCGCGCGGCCTGAGCCTGCTGCCGCTCCAACTGCAGTTGCATCTGGAGCTGCTGGAGTTGGGAGGCTGAAGGCCCTGATGAGTTTATTTGCCCCCCTGCTGCACGCCGCACACCTGACAGCTGAGACAACAACTCTGCAGGAGAAGCAACAAAAACAGACTTCACTGTTGGCTGTTTCTAAATAAATCATGATTTCAAAAGACAACACTGTAGATAACTGGAAGAAGATATGAAGGACAGAGAAAAA